GCCATTTCCTCCTCTAGGCGATTTTCTTGATCCAGGGATCGAAACTGCATTTCCTGCGTCTCCTGCATTGGCAGGTGGATTCTTTACCACTGACTACTGGGGAAGTCCCATAGTATTGCACAAGGATAGAAAACTAGCCTAGTGGAACAAACCACTCAGAGAAAGAACCATGTATAGTTGCATATGTGATTTAACAAAAATGTAGCACTGGAGAACAGTAGTACCGGGGCAATTTTTTTTTTAGCAAATGATGTTGAGACAATTGGGTGTCCAAATAGGAAAACAAGCAAACAAACACCTAAATTGAATGTTTACCTCACATATCTAAAAAATCAATAATTCACAAATAGTTATAAACCTAAATGTGAAAAGCAAAGAAGATAACATAGGAGAATATATTTTTTACTTTGGGATAGTAAAAGATTTCTTAAACAAGACACCAAAATTACTAATGATAAAAGGAAGGGATTGATAAAATGGACTACATTAAAAATAATAACTTATTTTCACCTGGGCTTCCCTTGTGGCTCAGCTGGTAAAGAATCCGCCTGCAATGCAGGAGACCTGGATTCGATGCCTGGGTTGGGAAGAACCCCTGGAGAAGGGAAAGGCTACCTGCTCCAATATTCTGACCTGGATAATTCCATGGACTGTATAGTCCATGGGGTTGCAAAGAGTCAGATACAACTGAACGACTTTCACTTATTTTCACCTAGAAATACCATAAACTGCACAAAGGTAAATTACAGAATGGAAAAAGATATATTTTCATCATTTAAAACCATCAAAGATTTCATATCCAGATTATAAAATGAAATCTTACAGTTCAATAAAAGATCTATAATCAATATAAAAATATTCAACAGGGAATTCCCTGGCAGTCCAGTTGACAGGACTCCATACTTTCACTGCCAAGGGCCCAGATCCGATCCCTGGTCGGGAAACTCAACATCCCACAAGCTGTGGCCAATAAATTTTTTTTAATTAAAAATATTTGAAAGATTTGAATGAACATTTCACAGGAGACTATCCAATAGCCAGTAAGTGTCCACGAAAAGGTGCTCAATTTCATTAGTTTTCAGGGAAATGCCAATTTAAACCATATGAGATACTATGCTTCTCAGATTGGCAAAAATTAAAAACTGACAGTATAGATGGTACTGACATGGGACAGACAACAGGGCCTGAACCTAAAAGTTTCTCTGAAAAATAAAGCCTATATTAAAAAACAAACAAGAACCCTCTGTATCTCTTCTAGTCACCAGACTGATGTAGCCTGAAATCAGTCATAAAGCCAAATACCACAGGTTGTTGAATTACACCACAGGAGGAATTCAACACATCTCCAGGTCTCTTATATGAAACCTAAAGTCTGCTGGTTGTTGGAAGAATGGGACCTTGGCAATTGAAATTGGAACACCAAAGTTGATTTGCATTAACCTGAGCGATCCCTAAACACCAGCTTCCACTGAGGCTCCCTTGGTGGCAGAGGCAGCCCTTCCTCCCCAGTCTAATGGGACTGGACCTGAGTGACTTGGGGATCCTCCAATGATTTGGCTGATCTTTCTCAAGATCCATTCATATCACCTTTTGGTGCCTCCATCCCCATTATTGCATTCAGACTCCTGTATGTCAGACCTGTGAGAAGAAAGCCTAATTTATGTTGGCAGAAACCTCAATAATATATGTGAGAATTGATTCTATGCATGATAGATCAGAGGGAAATAAATACAATTTTAGATTGGGCCAAACATTTTTAATTGTGGTAAAATATATATAACATAAAATTTGCCATTTCATGGGCCAAAGAACTAAACAGACATTTCTCCAAAGAAGATATACAAATGGCTAACAAACACATGAAAAGATGTTCAACATCACTCATTATCAGAGAAATGCAAATCAAAACCACAATGAAGTACCATCTCATGCCAGTCAGAATGGCTGCTATCCAAAAGTCTACAAACAATAAATGCTGGATAGGATGCGAAGAAAAGGGAACCCTCTTACACTGTTGGTGGGAATGCAAACTAGTACAGCCACTATGGAGAACAATCTTCTTTAAAGGAGAAGATTCCTTTAAAAACTGGAAATAGAACTGCCATATGACCCAGCAATCCCATTGCTGGGCGTACACACCGAGGAAACCGAAATTGAAAGAGACACATGCACCCCCATGTTCATTGCAGCACTGTTTACAATAGCCAGGGCATGGAAGCTACCTAGATGTCTATCAGCAGACGAATGGATAAGAAAGCTGTGGTATATATACACAATGGAATACTACTCAGGTATTAAAAAGAATGCATTTGAATCAGGTCTAATGAGGTGGATGAAACGAGCCTATTATACAGAGCGAAGTAAGTCAGAAAGAAAAACACCAATACAGTATATTACGCATATATATGGAATTTAGAAAGATGGTAACAATGTCCCTATATGTGAGATAGCAAAAGAGACACAGATGTAGAAAACAGATTGTTGGACTCTGTGGGAGAAGGTGAGGGTGGGATGATTTTAGAGAGTAGCATTGAAACATGTATATTATCGTATGTGAAATAGATCGCCAGTCTGGGTTCGATGCATGAGGCAGGGTGCTCAGGGCTGGTGCACTGGGATGACCCTGAGGGATGGGATGGGGAGGGAGGTGGGAGGGAGGGTCTGGATGGGGAACACATGTGCACCCATGGCTGATTCATGTGAATGTATGGCAAAAACCACTACAATATTGTAAAGTAATTAGCCTCCAGTTAAATTTTTTAAAATTTGCCATTTTAACCACTTTGTAGTATACAGTCAGGTGGTGTTAATTACATTCAAATGTTTTGTGACCATCACCATTACCTAATTCCAAAACTTTTTTTTTTATCATCCCAAACAGAAGTTCTGCACCCATTAAGCAATAAAGCCCATTCCACTCTGCCCCTAGTTCCTGGTAACCTTTAACCTACTTTCTTTCCCTACATATTTACCAATTCTAGATATTTCATATAACTAGAATCTTACAATATTTGTCCTTTTATGTTTGGATTATTTCCCTTAGAATAATATTTTCAAGGCTCATGCTCTGTGATGACCTAGAGAGGTGGGATTGGGGGAGGTTCAAGAGGGAGGGGATATATGTATACTTATGACTGATTTATGTTGTTGTATGGCAGAAACCAACACAACATTGTAAAGCAATTATCCTCCAACTAAAAATAAAGTTTAGAAAAGAACCTGTTGCCAAATCCAAGGTCATGAAGATTTACCCCTGTGTTTTCTTCTAAGAGTTTTGTGGTTTTAGCTCTTGTATTTAGGTTGTTGATCCATTTTGAATTAATAGTATAGGTATGAGGTACGGGTCCAACATCATTCTTTTGCATATAAAAATCCAGTTGCACCAGCACCCTCAGTTGAAGAGACTATCCTTACCCCACTGAATGGACTTGGCACTCTCGTCAAAAACCACTTGGTCATTTGATTTGTCTTTTTCAAGATTGTTTTGACTATTTAAGGCCCCTTGAAATTCCATATGAATTTGAGGATTGGCATCTCCACATATCTGCAAAAAGGCTGTTGGAATTTTGATAAGGATTTTGTTGAATCTGTAGGTTGCTTTGGGTATTAGTAACATCTTAATATAAAATCTTCCAATCTGGGGACTTCCCTGACAGTCCAGTGGTTAAGACTCCAAGCTTCTAATGCAGGGGGTGTGAGTTCGATCCCTGGTCAGGGAACTAAGATCCCACATTCTATGGAGTCAAAAAAAAATCAACCTTCCTTATGGCATGTGGCATCTTTAGTTGTGGCATGTGGGATCTAGTTCCCTGACCAGAGATCAAACTCTGGTTCGATGCCTCTAGCATTGAGAGTGCAGAGTCTTAGCCACTGGACTACCAAGAAAGTACCCTACAGATATCTTTTAGATGGTATTATAAATGAAATTGCTCTTCATTTCATTTTAAAACACAACTGATTTTTATGTGTTGATCTTGTTCCTTGCAGCTTTGCTGAATTTATTAGATCTAGGCCTTTTCTGCATCTGAAATGCCCTTTCTGCACCAGTTGAGATGATCATGTAGGTTATTTTTCCCCTTGTTCTATTAGTGTGATGTATCTATAACCTTGATTGATTTTCTGATGTTGAACTACTCTTGCATTCCTGGAACAAATCCCACTAGATCATGATGTATAATCCTTTCAATATGCTGTTGGATCCTGTTGCTAGTATTTTGTTGAGGATTTTTGCATCTGTATTCATAGGGGATATTGGTTTGTAAGTTTCTTGTGATAGCTTTGGTTTGGGTAGGGCCAGACTTTTCAGTACGGGTGCACTTAGCATTCCTGGATGTATGTACTGTGTTAGCTAAAGCAGCTAGCAGTATTTCTAGGATTAGTCCTACTGATTGAAAACCTGGACTCAACAGTGTTAGTCACTCAGTTGTGTCTGACTCTTTTTGACCCCGTGGACTGGGGCCCGCCAGGCTCCTCTGCCCATGGAATTCTCCAGGCAAGAATACTAGAGTGGGTTGCCATTCCCTTCTCCAGAGAATCTTCCTGACCCAGGGATCGAACCTGGGTCTCCCGCATTGCCGGCAGCTTCTTTACCGTCTGAGCCACCACACCAGGGAAACCTGGACTCAACAGCAGCCTATGTTAACTGTACAGCTGTACAGTGTAGAGGGAGGAATCCAAATGTTAGTGACATCGGTGGTATACTGGTGAGCATAACTGCCTTCCAAAGGTTTAGGGCAATGAGTGCTGGGCGGCTCCGGCTCCTGCAGCCGCCGCCACCCCACTGAGGGGCGCTTGATGGGCGCGCCGCTTCGTGTCTGGCCGAATCAAGGAAGCTGCGGCGCCTCCTGCCGGGGAGCCGTCGCTGCAGCCTGAGGTCGGGTCCCAGATCGGAGGCTGCCTGAGGAGCGACGACGGTGGCGGCAATCAGAGCCACATCAGGAGTCTGGGACTGAGGAACTGCCTGCAGCTTCACAAGGCCAGTATGGACAGAATAGCTTAGAATGTTTATTCCCGCCCACCGCTTCTGAGAACTTGAGTGGAAACCAGAGTGCCTCCAGTCAGAGAAGTGCATCCCACCTTCCCACCCCTATCCGACGGGCACCATGTGGTTCATCCCCGATGGCTGTGGCATTTTCTGTGCCATTGTCACCTGGTTTCTGGTCTTCTACACGGAGTTCGTGGTCCTCTTCGTCATGCTGATTCCATCCGGGGACTACATGTACAGCGCCATTAACGGAATCGTGTTCAGCCTGCTGGCCTTCTTGGCCCTGGCTTCCCACTGCCGGGCCATGTTGACCGACCCTGGGGCTGTGCCCAAAGGAAATGCCACTAAAGAATTCATCGAGAGTTTACAGATGAAGTCCGGTCAGGTGCTGTACAACTGTCCCAAATGCTGCAGCATCAAGCCCGACGGAGCCCACCACTGCAAGGTTTGTAAGCGGTGCATTCGGAAGATGGACCACCATTGTCCCTGGATCAACAACTGTGTCGGCGAGAAGAACCAGAAGTACTTCGTCCTTTTTACAATGTATGTAGCTCTCATTTCCTTGCACACCCTCATCTTGGTGGGATTCCACTTCCTGCGTTGCTTTGAAGAAGACTGCAGCTCCTCCTCGCCCACAACGATGACCCTCCTCATCCTCCTCGGCTTGAAGGGACTGCTCTTCCTCATTTTCACATCGGCTATGTTCGGGACCCAGATGCTCTCCATCTGCACAGATGAGACAAGAATAGAACAACTGAAAAAGGAAGACAGAAGATGGGTCAAGAAAACAACATGGGTGAACCTGAAAGCCGTTTTTGGCCACCCCTTCTCTCTAGGCTGGGCCAGCCCCTTTGTCATGCCAGACCAAGGGAAGGCAGACCCGTACCAGCATATAATCTGAAAGACCCTGACCAGCATTGCCACTCAGACACAAACCACATCCCAGCACTACCCTTGGATTGGGTCTTATGAATGTCCAAACCGAAAAACCAACACAACAACTCTAAATAAAACATTTTTTGTTTAATGTCTCAAGTAAAATGGCAGAACATTGCCGGGAAAAAAAATGTCTCCGTGTTTTGTTTTTAAAAGATCATCCTTTCTGCTTTTCTTTTTTCCTTTTAAAAAATATAATAATTTAATTTATTTTTGGCTGGGCTGGGTCTTCATTGCTGCATGCAGGCTTTACTCTAGTTGCTGTGAACAGGGCTACTCTGTAGTTGTACTGCAGCTTCTCATTGCGGTGGCTTCTGTTGTTGCAGACCACAGGCTCTAGGGCCTGCTGGCTTAGTAGTTTCGGCTCACTGGCTCCAGAGCACAAGCTCAACAGTTGTGGCACATGGGTTTTAGTTGCTCCATGGCATGTGGGATCTTCCTGTACTAGGGATCGGACCCTTGTCTCCTGCATTGGCAGGTGAAGTCTTTACCACTGAGCCACCAGGGGAGCCCTCTTTTTTACTTTTTAAAATTATTTGTTGGGGAGGGAGGTGGGAGGGGGGTTCAGGATGGGGAACACATGTAAATTCATGGCTGATTCATGTCAATGTATGGCAAAAACCACTACAATATTGTAAAGTAGCCTCCAACTAATAAAAATAAATGGGAAAAAAATCAAAAAAATAAAAGTGATATTAGAAGTTGAACTTTGCATTGACAATATCCATAAGGTGGACAGGTTTACTATAAATATTATGATATGTGATAGAGAATAAAGGTAATGAATATTTACCTATTAAAGTAAAGCTAATGGTTAGATACAGGCTCTGTGCTTTCAAAATCCCTTGTGTCAATGGTTTTACTATTTTTCAGTAAAATTTTTCTCTTTAAAAAAATAAAAAAATAAAATCATTTGTCACCCATTCATGTGCTGATGGACATCTAGGTTGCTTCTGTGTCCTAGCTATTGTAAATATTGCTGCAATGAACATTGGGGTACATCTGTCTTTTTCAATTCTGGTTTCCTCGGGGTATATGCCCAGTAGTGGGATTGCTGGGTCATATGGTAGTTTTATTCCTAGTTTTAAAGGAATGTCCATACTCTTCTCCATAGTGGTTGTATCCATTTGCATTCCCACCAACAGTGTAAGAGGGTTCCCTATTTTCCACACCCTCTCCAGCATTTATTGTTTGTATACTTTTTGATGATGGCCATTCTGACTGGTGTGAGATGATACCTCATTGTGATTTTGATTTGCATTTCTGTAGTAATGAGCTATGTTGAGCATCTTTTCATTTGTTTATTAGCCATCTGTATGTCTTTGGAGAAATGTTTGTTTAAATCTTCTGCCCACTTTTTTATTGGGTTGTTTGTTTTTCTGGTATTGAACTACTTGAGCTGCGTGTATATTTTGGAAATTAATTCTTTGTCAGTTGTTTCATTTGCTATTATTTTCCCCCATTGTGAAGGTTGCCTCTTCACCTTGCTTATAGTTTCCTTACATACACACAATGGAATATTACTCACCTATAAAAAGGATCCCATTTGAGTCAGTTCTAATGAGGTAGATGAACCTATTATAGCCTATTATACAGTGTAATATTGTAGAGAGTGAGGCAGAAAGAAAAAGACAGGTACTGTATATTAACGCATATATGTGGAATCTAGAAAGATGGTACTGACAATCCTACATGCAGGGCAGCAAAGGAGACACAGACATAAAGAACAAACTTTTGGAATCAGTCAGAGAAGGAGAGGGTGGGATGATTTGAGAGAATAGCATTGAAACATATACATTACGATATGTAGAATAGATAGCCAGTGAGAGTTTGATGTATGATGCAGGGCACCCAAAGCTGGTGCTCTGTGATAACCTGGAGAGATAGACTGGAGAGGAAGGTGGGAGGGGACTTCAGAGGAAGCAGACACATGTATGCCTATGGCTGATTCATATTGATGTATGGCAAAAACCATCACAATATTGTAAAGTAGTTATCCTCCAATTTAAATAAATAATTCTTACTAGGAGATTTTTTAAACTAATTTATTTTTAAGTGACGGATAGTTGCTTTACAGAATTTTGTTGTTTTCTGTCAAACCTCAACATGAATCAGCCATAGGTATACATATGTCCGCTCCCTCTTGAACCTCCCTCCCATCTCCCTCCCCACCCCACCCCTCTAGGTTGATGCAGAGCCCCTGTTTGAGTTCCCAGAGACATACAGCAAATTCACATTGGCTATCTATTTTATATATGGTAGTGTAAGTTTCCATTTTACCCTCTCCATACATCTCACTCTCTCCTCCCCTCTCCCTGTGTCCATAAGTCTGTTCTCTATGTCTGATTCTCCACTGCTGCCCTGAAAATAAATTCTCCCATACCATCTTTCTAGATTCCATATATATATATGTTAGCATATGATATTTATCTTTCTGTTTCTGACTTACTTCACTCTGTATAATAGGCTCTAGGTTCATCTGCCTCATTGGAACTGACTCAAATGTGTTCCTTTTTATGGCTGAGTAATATTACATTGTGTATATGTACCACAACTTCTTTATCCATTCATCTGTCAGTGGACATCTAGGCTGCTTCTGTGTTCTAGCTATTGTAAATAGTGCTGCAATGAACATTGGGGTACAAGTGTCTTTTTCAATTTTGGTTTCCTCAGGGTATATGCCTAGGAGTGGGATTGCTGGGTCATATGGTGGTTTTATTCCTACTTTTTAAAGGAATCTCTGTACCATCATCCATAGTGGCTGCATCAATTTCCATTCCCACCAACAGTGAAAGAGCATTCCCTTTTCTCCACACCCTCTCCAGCATTTATTGTTGGTAGACTTTTAGATGATGGCTATTCTGACTGGTGTGAGGTGATATCTCATTGCAGTTTCGATTTGCATTTCTCTAATAATGAATGATGTTGAGCATCTTTTATGTGTTTGTTAGTCATCTGTATGTCTTCTTTGGAGAAATGTCTGTTTAGATCTTCTGCCCACTTTTTGATTGGGTTGTTTGTTTTTCTGATATTTTGTATGAGTTGCTTGTATATCTTGGAAATCAATCCTTTGTCAGTTGTTTCATTTGCTATTATTTTCTCCCATTCTGAGGGTTGTCTTTTCACCTTGTTTATAGTTTCCTTTGCTGTGCAAAAGCTTTTAAGTTTAATTAGGTCCCACTTGTTTACTTTTGTTTTTATTTCCATTACTTTAGGAGGTAGGTCATATAGGATCTTGCTTTGATTCATGTTATCAAGTGTTCTGCCTATGTTTTCCTCTAAGAATTTTAGTGTTTGATCTTACATTTAGGTCTTTAATCCATTTTGAGTTTATCTTTGTGTATGTGTTAGGAAGTGTTCTAATTTCATTCTTTTACATGTAGCTGTCCAGTTTTCCCAGCACCACTTATTGAAGAGGCTGTCTTTGCCCCATTGTATATTCTTGCCTCCTTTGTCAAAAATAAGGTACCCATAGGTGCATGGGTTTATTTCTGGGCTTTCTATCTTGTTCCATTGGTCTATATTTCTATTTTTGTGCCAGCAGCTTAGTGTCTTGATGACTGTAGCTTTGTAGTATAATCTGAAGTCAGGAAGTTTGATTCCTCCAGCTCCATTCTTCTTTCTCAGGACTGCTTTGGCTATTCTAGGTCTTTTGTGTTTCCATATGAATTGTGAATTTTTTTGTTCTAGTTCTGTGAAAAATGCCATTGGTAATTTGATATGAATCTTATTGAATCTGTAGATTGCATTTGGTAATATAGTCATTTTCACAATATTGATTCTTCCTACCCAGGAACATGGAATATCTCTCCATCTGTTCTGTCATCTTTGATATCTTTCATCAGTGTCTTATAATTTTCTGTATACAGGTTTTTTATCTCCTTAGGTAGGTTTATTCCTAGATATTTTATTCTTTTTGTTGCAATGCTGAATGGGATTGATTCCTTAATTTCTTTTTCTGATTTTTCATTGTTAGTATATAGGAATGGAAGTGATTTTTCTGTGTATTGATTTTGTATCCTGCAACTTTGCTAAATTCACTGATTAGCTCTAGTAATTTTCTGGTAGTACCTTTAGGGTTTTCTATGTATAGTATCATGTCATCTGCAAACAGTGAGAGCTTGACTTCTTCTTTTCCGATCTGGATTCCTTTTATTTTTATTCTCTGATTGCTGTAGCTAGGACTTCCAAAACTATGTTGAATGATAGTCATGAGAGTGGACACCCTTGTCTTGTTCCTGATCTTAGGGGGAATGCTTTCAGTTTTTCACCATTGAGAATAATGTTTGCTGTGGGCTTATCATATATGGCCTTCACTATGTTGAGGTAAGTTCCTTCTGTGCCCATTTTTTGAAGAGTTTTAATCATAAATGGGTGCTGAATTTTTGTCAAAGGCTTTTTCTGCATCTATTGAGATGATCATATGGTTTTTATCTTTCAATTTGTTAATATGGTGTATCACATTGATTGATTTGTGTATATTGAAGAATCCTTGCATCCCTGGAATAAACCCAACTTGATTATGGTATATGAGCTTTTTAATGTGTTATTGAATTCTGTTTGCTAGAATTTTGTTGAGGACTTTTGCATCTATGTTCATCAGTGATATTTGCCTGGAGTTTTGTGTGCTGTCTTTGTCTGGTTTTGGTATCAGGGTGATGGTGACCTCATGAATGAGTTAGGAAGTGTTCCTTCCTCTGCAATTTTTTGAAAGAGTTTTAGATGGATAGACAGTGGCTCTTCTCTAAATGTTAGATAGAATTCACCTGTGAAGCCATCTGGTCCTAGGCTTTTGTTTTTTGGGGGGGCGGGGGGATTTTTTTAAATCACAGTTTCTATTTCAGTGCTTTTAATTGGGTTGTTCATTATTTCTATTTCTCCCTGGTTCAGTCTTGGAAGATTGAACTTTTCTTAAGGGACTTAAATCCTCACTGAAGATGGATTCTTACCCCTTGTAGCCTAAGAGGGCTGGAATCAGGGCTAAAGCTCTAAAAAGTGTCCTTGACACAGTGGCCTTATGCCCCATGTGAGCACAATGCCTCCTGTTTCGTGAAATCAATTGCCTGCCTTGTACTTTATGGGCCCTGGGTGTGTAGAATGATTTTGGAGGTGG